TGTGAAATGTATTAAAAAGAAAAAAAAACAGAAATATCGCATTGGCATAAGTATTCAGACCCTTTACTTAGTACTTTGTTGAAGCACCTTTGGCAGCAATTATGACCTTGAGTCTATTTTGAGTCTATTTGAGTCTAACAAGCTTTGCACACCTGGATTGGGGGATTTTATGACATTGCTCTTTGCAAATCCTCTCAAGCTCAGTCAGGTTGGGTGGAGACTAGGGTTGCACAGATACCCAGTACAGTACTCGGTACAAGTACATGTACCGATACTTTTGAGCTCCAGGACTACACTAGAGAAAAATTAAAAAATTAGGAGGCAGCTGTCATTTGTAAGGAGCACAGGGAGCTCCTGGGATTTGTACATCTCTGTTTTATTGTATGATTTTGTTTTTATAAATAAAGGGATGCACAGATACCAGTTTTGCGAGTACGAGTACTGGTACTTGCCGAGTACTTACAAGTATGAGAACTGATATATTTTTGTTTATTGTCATGTGACAGTTTTTCTAAAACAATACAGACTAATGATTTCAGGACAGTGGTGGAGTACCAGAGCCAGGTCCTAGCTGCAACCTATGCAACCCTGGTAGTTCTCATGAAAATGCCAAGTATCTGCACTGGTACTCGAAAAGTATCTGTTCAACCCTAGTGGGGTCCACCGATGGACAGCCATTTTCAGGTCTCCCCAGAGATGTTCAATAGAATTCAAGCCAGGGCTCTGGCAGGGCCACTCTAGGGCATTCACATAGTTGTCTCTAAGCCACTCTAGTGTTGTCTTTCTTGGCTGTGCTTAGGATCGTTGTTGTGTTGGAGGGTGAACCTTCAAGCCCAGTCTGAGGTCCTGAGCGCTGTGCAACAGGTTTACATTGAGGATATCTCGATACTTTGCTCCATTCAGCTTTCCCTCAACTATAATCGGTCTCTTTGTGCCTGCTGCTGAAAAACACCCCCACAGCATGATGCTTCCACCACCATGCTTCACTGTTAGGATGGTATTGGGCAGGTCATGAGTGGTGCCTGGTTTCCTCCAGACATAAATAATTGAGGCCAAACAGTTCAATCTTGGTTTCATCAGACCATAAAATCTTATTTCTCAGTCTGATTGTCCTTCAGGTGCTTTTTTGCAAACTCCAAGTGGGCTTTCATGTGTTTTGCACTAAGGAGAGGCTTCTGTCTAGCCACTCTGCCATAGAGGCCAGATTAGTGGAAGGCTGCAGTGATGGTTGTTCTTCTGGAACTTTGTCCAATCTCCACACAGGATCTCCGCAGCTCAGTCAGAGTGACCATTGGGTTCTTGGTCACCTCTCTTACTAAAGACCTTCTCCCCCGGTTTGCTCAGTTTGGCCGGGCGAACATTTCTTGGAAAAGTCCTGGTTGTGCCAAACTTCTTCCATTTGAGAATTATATAGGCCACTGTGCTTTTGGGAACCTTCAGTGCAGCAGAAAGTTTTTTTTGTAGCCTTCCCCAGATCAGTGCCTTGCAATAATCCTGTCACTGAGCTCTGCAGGCAGTTTCGTTGACTTCATGGCTTTTGCTCTGATACAGTATGCATTGTCAGCTGTGAGGCCTTCTATAGAGAGGTGTGTGCCTTTCCAAATCATGTCCAATCAATTTAATTTACCACAGGTGGACTCCAATCAAGGTGTAGAAACATCTCAGCCACGATCAAGAGAAATAAGAGGCATCTGAGCTAAACCTTCAAGTGTTGTTGAGTGAATACTTATGCCAATAAGTGTGAATACTTGCCAATGTGCCAAAAGGGTGTGAATACTTATGCCACTGTGATATTTCAGTTTTTCCTTTTTCATACATTTACAAACATTTCTAAAATTCTGTTTTCACTTTGTCATTATGGAGCACCGAGTGTAGATTAATGAGAGAGAAAGGATTTAAACAAATGTAGTATTAGGCTGCAACATAACATTGAAAGAAGTGAAGGGGGTCTGAATACTTTCTGAATTCACTGTATATAAAACAAATCATACATTAAAACAGGGATGCACAAATCCCAGGATCCAGTAAAATGCTCCTTCAGGGCTGGTGCAGACCTGGGCAATTTGGGCCGCCCAAGTGTGTGCAGTTGCACACAGCAGTTGCTGTGCGGCCCCGTTGATTTAAATGGGGTTATATCCCCGTGGCAATTGCAGAGAAGAGGTACATGTAACTTTTTTTGCGACATACGACGCCCAGCTATTTTAGCCACGATTGTGTTCGATCGCACGGGCAAAATCGTGGCGGTAAACTGCGCAATCTGCCCAGCATGACTGCAGTGCCATTAGAAAATAATGGCACCGTCAGTGCGATTGGCGTTGGTGGGCGATTCCGTCACGGATCTGAGTACGGTACTTGGTATCTGAATACCCTTCTAAGCTTATCCTACATACTCTTCAGAGTATACACTACTAACCTTTCTAAATATACCCTACATAGCCTATGAGTATACACTACATACCCTCCTGGGTATACCCTACATACCCTTCTGAGTATATTATTATTATACAGGATTTATATTGCGCCAACAGTTTGCGCAGCGCTTTACAATATAGGGAAGACATTACAATCACAATACAAATCAATACAAGATGGTAAGGGGGGCCCTGCCCCTGAGGGCTTACAATCTAAAAGATTACACTGCATACCCTTTACAGCAGGGGCGCCCACAATTTTTCGGGAGGAGGTGTGGCAATGCATTGAATTCAATGGCACCGCAGCCAGGCCCCTCGCCCACACCCGGAACCCTGGTACATTAGTGCCTGCGTTCCAGTCCAGTGCAATCCGCAAAAATGCTGCAAGCACTATTTTTGCAGATTGCACTGGAACGGAATGCAGGCACTAATGTGCCTGCGTTCCGGGTGCGGGCGATCACACTGTGGGCGGGGGGCATGGCTGCGGTGCCATTGACTTCAGTACAACCCCACGCCCCATCCTGCCCCTGAACGCAGGGAGTCGGCCGGCTTACATTCCAGTGCGTCCTAGAGGCCCCGGCGTCCTGTCCTCCAGCGGTGCTCGTGTGGCTGACGTTGCACATGGCGAGAGGTGTCCTGCCCCTTTCCATCTGCTGCGTCTGACACATTCAGCCAGCTGCCGCATGAGCACCATGAGAGCATAGCCGTAGCCAGCTCCCGAGGCAAGAAAAAACTATGGCGGCAGAGCAGGGGAGAGCGATGGAGGAGATGGAGCGGAGCAAGGCGCGTGGGCATCCAGGTGATCGGTGGGAATGGACCTAGAGAAAGGCAGGAGAGATAAGGAATACAAAACAAACAACAACAAAAAAAACGTGAACAACAAGGTATACACAACATAACAGTGATAACTATGAGCTCTCTCTGAGAGGGCCACCAGCCCCAGCCGGGGTAAAGGCAGCCCCGCCAGGACAGCTGCGTCAGAAATCCGACAGGTCTCCAAATTCGAGACAGGTCCTATGGGGGGAACGGGGTAGGACACCATGGGGGTGGGCGAGCCGGCAGCATGTGTACTGCCGGGCGCCATATTGGCTGCGGCCCGGTCGCATGTCCGCCGATCGCGGAGGAAGTGTTCCAGCGATCCCCTCGGCAGTTTCGGGGTCTTTGGCAGCTTTGTGGAGGTCTTCCGCTTCCCTGCCATGGTTCAGTGGTAGCTGGCTTGCTGGAATCAGGTCGGATGGGTGCGGATGCAGTGGGTCCAGACGGAGCTCAGCCTAAGTGCGACTCTCCACCATCGCGTCCAGGCCACGCCCCCCTGATATTTCCCTTTTAAAAATTAAAAAAGAAAATGAGGACACAAAGTCCTCAATCTCTTTTTCTGCAGCCTCTGTTCTAAATGAATGGGAAGCACTATCATCCAGTTTCTGAATGGGGAGAAAATCATGAATGAACAGGACGTGATTTAAATCACATCCTGTTCATTCATAACTGGGGACACATAGTATTATGTGCCCCCTTTTATTTACAAACACTGGATTGATCAGCTGAAGCACTTCAGCCGCGGGGGTGGTGGAGACAGAACTAAGGCCAAGTGGTGAGGGGAGAGAGAGGCGCCGGCTGTCAGATCCTGGCCAAGCATCTCTCTCTCTCCTCACCGCTCGGCCTTAGTTAAGTGACAGCGGCTCCGTCCTTCGCCCTCCCCTCCCCCGCTGGCCGCAGCTGCTCCTTTACTTCTCCTCGGATCCCCGCTGCATACAGATGGGGATCCAGAGGAGAAGACCCACGGGCTGGAGGAGAGGACATCGTCATATACCATTGATCGCTAAGCAATCACTGGTAGATCGCGATCACTGGTAGATCGCGATCCACCTTATAGGCACCCCTGCTTTACAGTATACATTACTGATCCTTCTAAATACATATTATACAGCCTAGATTTTTGTCTTTAGAACATTTTCGGCGACAACAAAATCGCACAATGAAAACTGCACATGCTCAAACTAAAATTTGGTCTTTCGACTGACGAAAATCAGCCAGTTATTGGTGCTGAGGAACGATAATCGCACACAACATCAATCTGTACATGATGGGCTGTTTGAACGAAAATTGAACGAGAGTGCAAGTTGTACAATGGTTGTAAGGTGTATGGCCACCTTTAGTATACACTACATACCCTTGAGAGTATACCTTACATAGTCTATGAAAATACCCTACCTGAGTGTACCCTACATATCCACCTGAGTATACTCTACATACCCTCCTGAGTGTACCCTACATACCCACCTGAGTGTACCCTACATACCCTCCTGAGTACACCCTACACCCCCTCCTGAGTATACACTATATACCTTCCTATGTACATCCTACACCTAGTACACCCTACGGGCAGCAATGCGTGCACTTGTCACCGTTGCCTGATAGGACGAGTCACAGAAGGAAGCTGACAGCTCCAATAATGTATGAGGAAGAAGAGAGACAATAAGAAGTGCCCCAGGAATCGCTTCTTCCAGCTGTGCACCGGGCAGACACATGAGATGTGTTACTAAGAATACGAGGCCAGCTTTCTTCCCAGTCAGTGTCTGTGCTGCCAGCGGTCCTATCTCCCCGGAGCTCGGCACTGGGAGTCCGCCTACCCCGGCAAAGGAGGGCGGGTCACAGGCTGCAGGCCGCCCGGATCGGGTGTTGTCGGTCACAGGCCGTGGCCATGTCGGACTATGAGATATCCGTTCAGGCGCTCAATGAACTGTTAGCCAACGATGGCGGCTTCTATTGCCTCCCCTCCCAGCACTTCAACGAGGTCTTCCCCCGGATCTACGTGGGCAACGCGTGAGTTACTGCCCCGAGTGGGGGTGTACCTGTGGGGACCCGGGCCGGGGACATTGGGGACATGTCTACATGTAGTAATGTGGGTTCATATCCAGCCATATTAGAAGACAATGTCACCGCTGTACACAGAAGACGGCTGTCATAGAATTCCTGTCCTATGTGTAGGGTGATGGGACTTGTTGCCAGCATTCTAGTGTTATTGTCCCTGACAAAGGTGACCACCTTACTGGTATATTTAATGTAGAAGTGAAGGCTAAGAAAAAGAGCACTGCTAGGCAACCTTGGCATGCCAGCTGTGGTGAAACTACAAATTCCATCAGGCTTCTGCCTCTGGGAGTCATGCATGTGGCTGTCACGGTCTTGCAATGGCTCATGGGACTTGTAGTTCTACAACAGCGGGAGTGCGGCGGCTGCCTACCCTTGCAATAGACCAACTTTTCTATGTTACCTCCCCATTGCCCTTGATAGATTTCCAAATAAATTGCAAGGTAAAAACCTTTCTTTTTTTTGTCTACGTGGTCACAGGACCATAAAGCTCCTTTCTCCGCGTTTCCTGGGTGTGAACTCCCTCCCGGCCGACAACGGCATAGTGCTATGGACTCTATGGGATTCAGCTGCGTTGTCGGCCCTCCACATTTACACAAGACGGGCCCAGAAGTTAGTGGTCACGTGACCACATAGAAAAACATTACAAAAATGGTAGTTAGCTTGCAACTTGCTAGAAAATGTTTGCAGGGTGCGATGGGGAGGCAGCATATAAAAGTAGGTTCCTTGTTTAGCTTTTCAGGCCCATGTCACACTAGCAAATCTCAACTCATCAGAATTGCTAAGAGTTAGCTTTCCCTCTATGGCAGGGGTGGGGAACCTCCGGCCCTTCAGCTGTGAAACTACAAATCCTATGATGCATCTGGCTCTGGGAGTCATGCCGTAGAGCAGGGGTGGGGAACCTCCAGCCCTCCAGCTGTGGTGGAACTACAATTCCCATGAGGGATTGCAAGACTGACAGTGACAAGCATGACTCTCAGAGGTAGATGCATGTTGGGATTTGTAGTTAAAGCACAGCTGGAGGGTCATGGTTGCCCACCCCTGCTCTATCTCTCTGGCTTAACCAGCAAGACCTCACCTAATCGCTGTTCCCCACCAGCAATCTGTCTTGTTTCCAGTGTCGGCCATCTGTCCCCAGCTGCAGGTAACTGTTGGATGTGTGAATAGTGGCAGACAGCTGCGGCTCTTGTCATTGCTTTGTACAGGCTTCCCGACCGCAACTGTCCGGTGATTCCTGGCTCAGGAATCTGCAGATTCTTGGCACAGGTATAATTGCTATGAATGAGGTTGATTTTTCAAGGGACTGCTTAGGTGCTATTGACATTTCTAGATTCCTTATCACATGACAAATCTTCGCTTATAGAGTTCAGGTCAAATCTGTAGCTGGATGAAACATTTTTCTGTAAATAAAAAGGTACCTCTACAGATCTTTGACCTCCAGAAGCTCTAAGCTTGCCCAAAGACTCCTTCTCAGATGGCCAGCCCCTCTCTACACTTTGTGGTTTCTTCTGCTTGATATTGACGCATGCTCTCCCACACCACACCTAGCACTACTGTGCACAAGGTGCACTGCTTTGCCATTTACTTGAATGGCACCCCAACATATGCCCCTGGCCACTGTGTGCTGCAACACTGGTACCGCAATAATCTGCATGCACCATAAGGCGGCCAAGAGGTGCGTTGGGGTGCAATTCAAATGAATGGTAAAGCAATGCACCTAGTGCACAGTTACGCACACTAGATGCATTGTGCAATAGCTGGTTAATTGCTGGGTTTTGTGCGATTGACGCAATGTTATGGTGTAAATAAGCCCTAAAACTTACCTGTCCCACTGCCGATTTTTGCCCTATTTGCTAAGCTTTAGTGCTTTAGTCATACGGGATTGTGCAGTTCACTCAACTCTGCAGTGTCAATGGGCGCTTAGACCTTTTCTTTACAGGCTGCACTTTTTAACAGTTTTAATAACATTTATTAACAGAATCGCTTTAAAAAATGGCGGTAGACCCCAAAGGGCAGGTTCACATGTTAACATAATCAAAAAGACCCTGGGCATCTGTGTTGGTCTTTGCATGTCTAAACATTGATGGTCATACCAGGCAATCGTTTGTCCTCAGTGCTATAAAGTATGATGAAATCAATAGAAGTATTTCTGACAAGTTGGATTTCTGTTCCTCCTGATGAGTTCAGCCTGGGTTTAGGTGGCCTACTGACATCAGATCATGATCCGTCAATAACGTACAGACTGCAACATTATCATTAAATGCCTATCTTAAGATAGGTATACACTGGTAGACTTTCATCCAAACTTTCAAATAAAAAATGTTGTCAGAACATTTGATAATGACATCAGACTTGTAGAATGTTGTTGGAAATTTTGTTTGATTTTATTATTTGATTTTGGAAATAAATGGAATTCCCCAAACAAAAACCACATTTACTGTTAGAAGTTCGTTTTATCGGGGACAAAATTTTCATCCTGCTTCTTCAATTTTGTAGTCACTACGGCCTACATTGATCGCTGATTTAACCCCATTAACTATTGAAAAATTAAACAAACGCTCTGTAAAACACTGGGCTGGGCAGGCAGCTTGAGTTTAATTTTATTTGTGGATGGCTGGAAATTACTTGGGGCTGCACAATTGCATTCAGTTACCTTTATCAACAAAATGACTCCACTTCTGTTGTGAATGTTACATTTCAATAATATAAAGTTTGTTATAGACATCAGTGAACAAATACAGTTCAGTGTATACACAAATTGATTGTCTGACAGTGTCTTTAGGCCAGATTTTCCCATTAGAAGGAACACCTTATTAACTCTGATTGCAATTTCCTAAATGTTATCTTTTAGATATTAAACATACAGCGATCTGTATGGATTAATTGCTACTACTTGGGAATAATTTGGCTAGTTTGCATAGCTACTTGAAGGCTTGTGCACTCGCCGGGGGTGTGCATGTTTACCAGCCCCTAGAAGCGATAAGGTGGCTTTATAGCCGCCTCAGTCACTTCCAGTGTAAAGCTGACAGTCGACTTCACACAGGTAAACAGAATCTAGGCAGCTACTCTGTTTACAGGGGGCCCACGGCTGCTGACATATTGCATATGTTGGTGGCAGCGAAAGGTTTAAAAACAATCTAGAAGATATGTAGTCTGCACACCATTCCGCTTTGGAATATCATCTTTATTCGTATTTCTTTAGCATGACATGTGAATTCACTGTTTCAGAGCCTCACAGGACCCCTTCGTCAGGCAAAGTGCGGACCTTACCTACCTTACCTACCTAACATCATTTAACCCATTCATAAGCCGAGGGGGGCATTTTTCAGCACAAAAAATGGGCTGAAAAACTCGGCTTATACTCGAGTATATACGGTACTTCCCACTGTCATACCCTCTTCACGTCTCTCTGCACATACTGCCTGCTGTCATACCTTCCGCATTACAACCCTGCACATACTGCCTGCTGTCATACCCTCCACACTCATCTCCTGCATTTACTGCCCCCGTCATATCCTCCGCATTACAAGCCTGCATATACCACATATCGCCACCGGTCATACCCGCCGCATTCCTCTCCTGCATATAATGCCCATTAAATCACTTCTTTAGTGTTGTTTGTAACATCCCTAGCCTTTCCTGTTCTGGAATCAACAAACTGAGTAAGCTAATGTGTTTCTGTGGATTATAAGTATTCCCTATTCATCTGAGCTGTAAAGACATTAAAAAAATGTATAAAATAAAAAAACCACACATAAAAGGTGGAATAAGATCAATGTGTGAGTCATATAAAAGGCATATGTTAAATGCTGATTGTCATCAAACAATGATGTCGAATTGGCACTGTTGGCAGTCATATAAATTCAGGACGACATACAAAAAAAAGAGTGGCACTAGGAAAGAGACTATTATGTTTACTATGTTATGCTCCATATTAGGGATGGCCCGATACTAGCATTGGTATCGGTGCCGATACTGGGTATTTTCACGTGTACAAGTATGCTGCAATTCTAAGCACCGACACCGCCGCTTTAAATTTTTTAAATAGATTTGGCTGCTTGATGTCCAGAGCTTCTGATCCGCCCACACATCTCCTGTCTGCAGAGATTGGCACAGCCCTGTAGAGCCCCACACCCGCTCGCACAGCCCTTGAGAGCCCTATATCCACCCGCACAGCCATGTAGAGTTCCACACCCGCCTGTATAGCCCTGGAGAACCCCACACCTGCCCATACAGCCATAGAGAGCCCTACACCCACCTGTTCAGCCCTGGAGAGCCCCACACCTGCCCGTAAAGTCCTGGAGAGACCCACACCCGCCCTTACAGCCCTGGAGAGACCCACATGCAGCTCTGGGGAGACTCAAACGCAGCCCCGGTGAGATCAGCACGCAGCCCTGGTGAGACCCAAATGCAGCCCTGGTGAAATCTGCATGCAGTCCTGGAGAGACCCCGCACAGCCCTGGTGAGACTGCACACAGCTCTGGTGAGACCTGCATGCAAAAGATGAGGTTTATTTCATGTTCATGAAGGTTACATTTTCACCAGGCACATTTAATTGCCACTTTGTACAAGTTGTTAAACTTTTCATTGGGCTTTACATTTTTGAGATCATCAGTTCCCTATGTTGACCATTGTGTCAGAACAACCTAACTCAGGGGCAGGCAATCTTGGCGCTCCAGCTCGGCTGAAACTACAACTCCCATCATGCCTCTGACTCTGGTAGTCATACCTGTGGCTGTCATTCTTGCAATGCCTCATGGGATTTGTAGTTCTGCAACAGCTGGAGTGCCACGTTTGCCTACCCCTGACCTAACTGCATAAGTCTTTTGGGGGTTTCACATCCTTTTAAGCACTTTCTGTTCCTTTTTCTTGGGTTACCGGTCCTCAGTGACCATATAAACCAGTTATTTTGGCATAGAAAGCTCCCCCACCCAGTGCTACTTGTCAGCGCAGCA